TGGAAAACGAAGCCAGAAAACTCAAATATGAAATGAGATACACATGTTTAACTGTGAGGGTGATATGCTTTAGCCAAGCACAACTTATTGAGCTTAGTACAGAGGGAACTCGGGGGAAGGTAATGGTCTGTGGTATGCCGAGGGTCAGGTTCTATGATCTAACCATTTCTTCTGGCTGGAATCTCTTCATAAAAAATATAGTTCAACCATAACTTATGGCCTAAAGAAAGGAATTGCTGCATGAAGTTCAGTGATTAGTGCTTGTACAAGGTGAGGTTAGAAGTGTCCCTTCTGGCCTTAGAGATAAAGTAGCTTAAGAGTGCAATACATGCTGGCAAAAGGCAAAACAAGAATAAACTCCTGTTAAAATGCTTTGAAATAGTGTTGCCTGTGCTTGCTGGGGCTATGTCTCTGCCAGCATGTAGAGCGGCCCAGTTAAGGACATGTTTGGTGAGTGAAACAGTGGAGGATCTGATGTCCCCTCTATACAGGGACAACTTTTACTCTGGGCTAGTTCACTTCTGATCCTGTGGACCGAATGCTCCAAACTGGAGCAACAAAATGGATGATCGAGATTCACTATGGAAACATACTCTTGATCCAACCAAAAGCTGAATGTCACCTTGCCATGTAGTAGTGTTCGTTAAAACATTTGCTAATATCTAAGGCAATTAAATTTATGTCCAGCATATACAATAAAGTGTGCTCTTGTCTTCCTAGGAATTTTGTTAGATTGCAGAGCCTTAACTGAGCCTGGAGTTGGTAGTTTGCCTGATAGAGCAACAGGCCCCATAGCTATCTGTTCAGCAGTGCGTGTGGGCCTGAAGCTGAGGTTCCTCACAATAATGTAACAAGAATGTAGGGAGTGAAGTCTTAAGAAGGAGAATGTGGGATCATGAAGTCCTCCAGTGAACACTGGGGACATGTAAAAGGAAGATGGGCTAGTTGTACATCCCCTTTTTTAAAGGGTGTGAGAGATGTACAAATAAATGCATCCCTAGTTATGGACAAGGGTCTTTTCCACTCTATCAATGGTACATAAATTATTCTGGTGACAACTCTGCGCTGCGTTGTTTCCAAAGAAGGCAAAGTAGCTAAGTCCTTAGAAAACTCCAGATGTTACTGTTTTTCCTTGTATTAGCAATACAGGGAAACACTTGGAGTTGTCTAGGTGTGCTTTTGTACTTAATGAACAATCAGCTGACGAAGCTCGCCAACGCCTGGGACGTCTGTCCGGCTTGAAAGGAGGAAGCATTCCTAACAATGAGAATGAGATTTGGATTTGCTCATTCTTATTCTATTAAAAAAAAAAAGTATTTTTTTTTACTATCGTAATTACACCAGTGCTGATTGTATTCTTCAGAAAAATCAGTATTTCATTAAAAGTAATTTTACTGCCTAAGATACTGCTCCACCCCCAAAGCCATATTTTATATTTTAAACTGTTTGTCTTTAAGATGTATTTATTGCCATGTTTGTTTAACTTGGTTATCTCCTTCATCAATCTATTTCTTATTAACTTAAAGCTGCTGCTCTTTGTTTTTAGAATAAAAAGCTGCTTCCCTGGGGATGTATAGTCCAGGACTTGTCTCTGTAATGGGACTATTTGTTTTCTTTGCCCCTTGCAGTTGCCTGCTGTAACATTTGTAGTATGTGTTAAGTAATCCTTGAGGTAACATTTTTATTATGTCATAAAAAGTGCGTGGCAAATATATAATAACTCATGGAATTTGTTTGTTTAAAAATGGAAGGATAATTTATTGAGTGTGTTACATGAGACCTGCTCCCCTTATTAGAGCTGTAGAAGTGCAGCTTATTTAGAAGTATGTTCTATTGAGAAAAACCACGATCTCTGACATGCACAGAAAGTTTGAGCATGGTTGGGTAGAAATGACATCATAGTTTATGTACTCAATAAAAATTTAATTAAGTCATTACAGAAGTTGCAGTCATCATTTAACCCTCTGATTTCTTATGTTCTTTTTTAAAAAATATTTAGTAATAGCCAGTTGCAAAATCTTGATGGCCTATAAAATATTTGCATGAATTTTAATAGCTTATATTAATGGAAAAATATGAGTAACTGACATAAAGAAATTTTCCTTGTGTTTTCAGTATAAAAATCAACTGACGAAAAAGATAGCAGTTTAATGGAACAGTGTTTGAACTGGAGATTTGATTGTGTGGCAAAATAACTCACATTTTAATAGAAAGCTGTTGCATAAGGACTGAGAATATTAAGAAAATACTTAGAACGTACGAGTCACCCTCGAGGTCCCTGTCATAAATATTAAGGTTTATATGTTAAATTTCACAACTTTTCTCTAAACTTATGATAAACTATATATCAAAAATGGTAATGTTCATTCCATATTAGAATTGATTTCATATCCTGCAGTCCTGTTTGCCTTTTTTTTTTTTTTAATCTTATCCCTGCGTGCAGTCTCATAGGTTATTGTCCGTGTCGACTATACTTACGTTGCAGGCAGGGTCTGTGCATAACAAATGCTTGGTCTCTTAGACCTGCCATGTGTGGATACAAAGAGGGATCTTTATACTAAAGGAAGGAGAGCTCTGCCCTCAGGAGGGAAACTCCGTATTAGATTGTTCTGTTGATAGAAATAAAAAGCACGGGCAGGAGGAGTAGCCAGTATGCATGGAGGAGATGAGATGCACATGAATTACTTCAGCCATTGCTCTGGACCTAGAGATCTCTTTTTGTTCACACAAAAAATTCACGCGGGGCGCAATTCTGAAAGCCAGTGAGTAGCTCAGGCCAAAGTAGCAAATATTTAAGCAACTGTTAAATTTAGTTAAAAGTCAGTGTGGAACATAGACCAAGTCATACAGCATAGGGGGATGTAGCTTGAGAATTCCCAACTCTGAAAGAAACTTAGTCACAGTGACCAACTAGTAAGTCTGAGCTGCCAGAGAGATGCCGTGAAACAGAATTCATGTGATTTCTGAATGAACAAGTCAATATTGACAAGTAATTAAGAAGTAGGGGTAGGGATGGGGCCTCTATCTTTAGCATTACAGTACTTTTACTGTAATAGCATGTCTAGCTCTGGAGTCTGTGTGTTAGAAATAAATGTTCAAAACCCTGTGAGTTCCTAAAAGATACATATGAATGAATCAAGGTCTGGAAAACCTGCATAATAGGCAAAACACTTGCAGAGCAGTTTTCATTATCTTAGCTTATGCTGCCACTTAAAGGGCAGCCTTGCTGTGTTTTTTTTCTCTGCTTGGGTAGCTGTTGTCAGCACTGTTGGCCCAGGATTTTTTTCTGCCATTTGTATAAGCTGACATTTACTCTGACTTTTATTTGTGTATAGAACTAATGGAGTGGTATTGTACATTCTTCTAAAGACAGTGACTACATGAACCTCACAATTTACAGCCAAAGCCTAGCATATATGGACCACAGTATTCGTTTTTCTTCTCCTACTCCGAGTGGAACTGATAATTGTTTTATTATCGTCTCCACCAGTTTAGAACCCATTCTGATGGTTTTCTTTTTATTTTTCAGATTACTTCTGCTGCTCTAAAAGAAGATTTGAGAAGTATGGTAGAAAACTTCTATGCAGCTCTGTTTGGTTATGATGAGGTAAGAAGGGTATTTTGACAGAACGAGCAGGAACAAATAGGCTATCTAATTCACTGAACTGAAAATGTTGCAGATGGGTTAAATATTTGCCACACACATCACTGGGCAACTGTGTTCAAGTATCAATGGGATTTTCAAGTAGAAAATACAATTACATCAGATCCTATAGTAGTTAACTTTCTGCTCTAGTGGGTTTTGCTAGTGATGTTCTTTTTATTGACATGGTGATATTATTTTTTTATGTGGCTATCTGCATTAATATCTTGTAAAGGTAAAGTTCATAGAGTATTGGACAATGTTAGGTATGCAGGTTTTTCCTTTAATCTATTTTTAAGTATAGCCAGGATGTGTCTGTCTGTCTGTCTTCTTCATGTCTGCCTCTTGTTGACAATCTTTTTAGAAGCAAAATGTCTAGTTAAATTGAAGACAAATGTTGACGTTTCATATTTTAACTGAATATTTTAAAGTCCTCTCTTGCCTTTGGCAAATGTGACAGCAGAAGACAGGAGTTACGAGACTCTGGCAATAGCACCAGTTGATCTAGAAAGGCGAAGCTGAAGAGAATTTAGACAAAAAGTTCTCAAGGATATGACTGTTGTGTAAACTAAGTTTAAAATTAGCTTTAACTGGAGAAAATCTAGATTGTCCCTAATGATAAAAAAAAAAAAAAATCTGTCATTCATTTAGAAGGAGACAAATAGTCAAGTCCAGATTGCTTTTCCAGAACATCTTATTATGCATCTTTTAATTTTTAATATTTCAAGAATTCTGGGCTTCACACAGTTCTGTAAAGTGGCTCTTCTGTAGATTTAAAAACTAGAGAAACTGGATGGTCATCTACTCTCCTAGGATAACCCACCTATTTTTTTCTGATTGGTGGGATATTTGTTACAGGATGGAGCAGTTAGTCTCTTTCAAGTCAAAGGTTATTCTTTCTGGGAAAGAATGACCTTGATGTCTTTTCATAGGTACAGACCACAGCAGCAGCTGTAAACATTGAGATGTTTAATATAGTCTAGTGCCAGGTAGATAGAGTAATAGAATGGATTTGTCTTGTGTTCGCTCCCTCTTCATGTGCAGCTTTTAATCCCCTCTCTTTTCTTACTTAGGGAATCTTGTCTGATGATCATGTTCTGGCAGCAGCCCTTTGGCGAAACCTATTTAACAGGAACTGTGAGGACCCCAGGCATCTAGAGTTACTCGTAGAGTATGTGCGCAAACAGGTATCTTACAGCTCATAGCCCGGCCTTCCTTCATCCTCTTGCTAGAATATTGCATATATACTTTTTTTATTGTCTGCATATTATGTAGCTCCATTCTTCTTTTAAGTATAGGTGGGTTTTATATTCATTTGTTATCTTTAAGGAGCAAAGTTGTATACTTGATGTTGCAGAGGCATCTTTCAGAATGCTCTACCATATGGGGCTTCCTGTAATTTAGCATCTGCCAGAGCCATTTAATTTACTTTTGACAGCCTCTACTAAAACCTAAATTCAGAGTGTTGTAAAGAAGGGATTAAGTTGCATTAAGCCCCTGGAATCTCTTAAGAGGGAATGTTGATCTACACCTCTTCATAGTGATATGCTACAGAGGTTGAAAGTTTCCTGGTGAACTCAGTGGATAGTAAGTAAAAGGTTTTGTTTCTCAGTTCATACCTGGAGGAAAAAAGAGTAAACAGTGTGGCCCCTCTAGCATTGTGAGACTTCTGAAGCATGTTTCTAGGAAAAACCAGGGTAGGAGATGGTAGATGTAGCCCAAGGGGAATTCCAAAGACAGAAGAAAGGGTGAGAGAGAAGTTCTGGAGGAAAAATGTAGACTGGTTGGGCAGGAAATTGAAGATCATGACTTCCACAGTAGCATTAGCTGTAATGTTTCCAACACAGTATTCAAGACCTGATAGGTATTTGAGGAGACAGTATTTCAGTGCATGTCTGACAAAAAGTTATGGGAAGTGAAAGGCTTAAATTTGTCAGGGACTGAGAGCCATTCTGGAATGCTAGAGAGTGCTCTTCAGGAGGCACAGACTTAATGCAGCAGGTTACTGACTCTTAATATTGAGGAGGTGGTAGAGTTTAAAACTGCAGATAGGTGGGAAACAAATGAAGAGAGCATGAAATTTGGGACAATTTGTCCATCAAGTGGGGAAGTTGTAGCAATTCTGTAAGCTCAAGCAAAGGATAGGACAGAAGCTAATGGCAGTCAAATAGGAAACCGCAATCACACAAATAAATATGGCACATTCACAGAATCGCAGAATGGTTGTGGTTGGAAGGGACCTCTGGAGATCCCCTCCTCTGGAGCAGGGGAGTCCAACCCCCCTGCTCCAGCGGGAACACTAGAGCACGGGCACAGGGTGGCATCCAGGTGGGTTTGAAGATCTGCAGAGAAAGAGACTCCACAGCCTCTCTGGGCAGCCTGTTCACAGGAAAGAAGTTCATAATATGGAGATGGAATTTCCTGGGTTTCAATTTGTACTCAGTTTGACTTGTCCTGTCACTGGCCACCACCAAGAAGAGTTTGGACCCATTCTCCCTACATTCTCCCCTCAGATATTTGTACCTGAAGATTGCCTCTCAATCTTCTCTTCTCCAAGTTAAATGTGCTGGGGTCACTAAGTCTTTCCCCATAAAATAGATGTTCAGGCCCATTAATCATCTTTGTCTCTCTACATTGGGCCTTCTCTAGAAGCTCCACGTCCCTCTTGTGCTGGGGAGCCCAGAACTGCAACCAGTACTCCAGGTGTGGCCTCACCAAAGCTGAGCAGAGGGGCAGGATCCCCTCCCTCGCCCTGCTGGCAACACTGCTAATGCAGGCTGGGAAGAGTCTTCATGACTTTTCTGAAGGCCAGTCCCGCCCCACAGATCTGTGGTGTTACTTGAAAGAGCCATTGGTGCTGCGGACAAAGAATATCTGATTTACCCTGTCTTGGATTTCTAGAAAGTTCTGGGAAGCTTCCACCAAAGACTTATAAAAGAAACTAGATAGCCATTGCAGAAGAGCAAATGTAGTCCTGTAGACAAGTAGCTAATAGGAATATCAGCAGTAGGGAGCCAATAAATTGTCAGGTTTCAACAGAGGAGAAGTTGTTACTAGATTCAATGGACTGAGGGTGGAAAGGACTCTGCTGTTCAATTTGGTTGTAAATGAAAAGTGTGGGAATGAACTGTGGGGTGACAATTTGCTAACACTTAACTATTTGTGGCAGTAAGCATAGAATCATAGAATCGTTAAGGTTGGAAGGGACCTCTAGAGGTCATCTAGTCCAACCCTCTGCACACGCAGGGTCACCTAGAGCACGTGGCACAGGATTGCTTCCAAGCCGGTTTTGAAGATCTCCAGAGAAGGAGACTCCACAACCTCTCTGGGCAGCCTGTGGCACCCTCATTGTGAAGAAATTTTTCCTGTGGAACTTTTGGTGCTTCAGTCTGTGGCCGTTTCCTCTTGTCCTATTGCTGGCCACCACTGAGAAGAGGCCAGCACCATCCTCCTCACTCCCTCCCTTCAGGTGCTTATATACACTGATCAGGTCCCCTCTCAGCCTTCTCTTCTCCAGGCTGAACAGGCCCAGCTCCCTCAGCCTCTCCTCATAGGGCAGATGTTCCAGGCCCCTGATCATCCTTGTAGCCCTGCGCTGGACTCTCTCCAGTATATCCACATCCCTCTGGTACTGGGGAGCCCAGAACTGGACACAGTAATGTAGCATGAGGGTTGATTGCAGAAAGAATTCATACAGCAAACTGTTTGATAAAGGTAAGTGTAGCTAATAGCGAAGTGATGCGCTTGGAGACAAAAACAATCCCAGATTTTTATATCTAGTGATGAGCTCTAAACTATCTGTTGCCACACAGCAATGAGCCCTTGAGATTTATGTGGATTGTCAGATGTCGACTCAATGCTAAGCAGTGTTAAAGTAAAACAAATGCTCAGAGCTCTGGAGGGAATTGTGGATTGTCAGATGTCAACTCAATGCTAAGCAGTGTTAAACAAATGCTCAGAGCTCTGGAGGGAAGGAATAGAGCATAAAACCTTGTGTAGTCATGTCTCTTTTTTAAATCTATGGTATCCCTCATCATCTTCAATAACGTGTACAGTTTGGGTCCCAGCCATCAAGATAGATATAAAACCGAACTGCAGAAGGATCTGCAAAGAGCAGTAAGGTTGATATGAAACAGCTTCTGTGTTATCAATGACCAGGACTTCCTATTCTGAGAAAAAACAGCTGAGAAAGAATACACTGCACCTCTGTGAAATCTTGAAGGGATATGGAAAGCAAGGTGGGGTAGGACGACACAATCTCCAGAGGTCCTTTCCAAGCTCAACTATTTCATCATTCTGTGCAGAAAGGTTGGTAGGCCTCTTCTGATGCAAGAACCAGGGGACATATGTTGCCTCAGGTTGCTGGGAATGCTAAAATATACATGGATTTCAAAAGCCACAGGCAAAGTTCAGGAAAGAGATATCTGTTGAGGGCACAGCCGCCATTTCAAGCTCAGTATCCCTGAACTAACAAATCTGGGGAGGGAGAATAAAAAGGAAAATAGCATTGTATGTATGCGTTGTACTTAACCCCTCCTCAGAAACAGATACTTTGCTTAGGTGGCAATCTAGTCCAGCCCTGTGTGACCCTTGACATGGTGTGTGCTTTCTTTGCTGAGAATCCTCTGCCAGATTATCTTTTGTGGCCAGGAAGCTGGGAGTCCCTGGAGTGAGAAATCTTTTCTTGCTGGTCCTGTCCTTCACCGTGACTATTAGTGGATGCCCAGAGAAGGCTATAATGACAGGGCACGCATGTGTGCTGTTTCCCTGCTGAGCAATCCTAGCCAGCTGTGTTCCCAGGCTGCCTGAGCCAGAGGTGGTATTTCTGTACTTAAATAGTCCCTTGATGGACTAGTCTTTTTCACCCTTACAGACTTCCAGTGTTTGCAGTGTCCCATGAGAGCAAATTTCAGTGACAAATGTGTTTAACCCTATGTTGTGTGAAAAGTTTGGGGGCTTTTTGCTAACTTCGCACTTTTTCATTTCATTTAATGCCACTTCTTGCATGCTGTGGATGGGTAGTCATTTCCTGTTCGTTCCCCTGCCCCCGCCCCGTCCCCACAACCCGTGCGCTAGTCACTCCCAGCTCTGTGTGAAACTGCTCTGATGAGCGAGCGCTCTGTGTGGATAACGGCTGTTGAGGGGAATCGGCCCGGCTCGGCTTCTCTGTGGCCGCTCGCACTTGTGGCAGCGGCGCTGGCTCGAGCAGGGGCTGGTGCTGTGCTTGTCCCCAGCCCCTCGCCGCGTGAGCCAGGCGGGGGCCGAGTCTGGCGTTCACCCCTCGCTGTCCCCACAGGTGCAGCACCTGGACGCCCTCAGCGGCGAGGAGCTGCTGCTGACTGGCGAGGTGAGCTGGCGGCCCCTGGTGGAGAGCGACGCCCGCAGCCTCCTCAAGCCCTTCTCCCCTGTCTACAACGACGAGGGGCTCTGAGGGACGCCCAGAGCCTGCTCTCGTAGCACCCCCTGCCCTGTGTCGGCTCCTCACATCACCGCAGGCAGCACTTGCCTCCCATGGGACTGCTGTGGCGTGGTGGGGCAGGGAGCAACAACTGCCACTGACTGGATATCCTGAAATAGGTGCCCTTGCTGTGGTGACTCAGTAGCAACTGGGACAGCTATCCACCTCTGAACATTCACCTGTGATTCAATGCTTAGTTGTTTCAAGAACCTCTGTTGCTGTAATGGCACCAAGCAGTCCTCACAGACAGGCTCCAACTAGACCTTTTCCTATGAGTCAAAATGTTTCCCGTTCTCTCAAGAAGACCTTTCTCCTCTGCGTTGCCCCACCTGAAGAACGGCTGCGCCTGGCACAGTGCCAGTCCTCCACTCACAACACGGTTGTGAATGCAAATCTGAGCTGTGCTTATTAGATGTTTATATATTCCTAAAGCCTGACCTTAAGGTAGAACAATCCATTTTTGCCTTCAGAGTGTTTGAGAATTGTTTTAACAGATTCTGAGGGGTTTTCCATGAAAATCCTTTTTAGGAACTATCTGCCCTGTTGCACAAGGGTATGAAAATGGCAAGAACAAGGCACCGTTCCCACTAATCCTCTGTGGCTCTAGCCATCCTAGCAAGAAATAGCCTGAAACTAAAAGCTACCTCAGGGTACTTGGTATTTCAGAGGTGATCTGCCTTGCCGATATTTTCATGTTCTTTTTTGAGTTGTGCTGTTGTTACTTCTTTGGAGAAAAAAAAAATCCCCATTAGTGTTCATAGCTCTTACTGAGATAGGACCTCAAAGCAGCGGTCCAGAGCTTTCTAAAAAGACCTGTTGACCCTTGTCAACACGCAGGCAAATTACCCCTACATGATAATTGTGAGAGCAATTGCTCCTCTGATTAAATCAGCAGCGGCTGAAGGGCACAGATGGATCATTCACTCGGGCTATTTCTGGGTCAGTGACAAAAACTGTTTGCATTTCTCTCATATTGAAAATCCTAATCCATAATAAATGTCAGTCTGGATAAAATTGATGTGTGTGTGTGTTTTCTGTGTTGTTAGCACTACTGATAAGAACAAGCCCTATACAGTGCTGTTATTTCTGATGAAAATGGGACTGTGCCTGGCTGGAACTGCTCTTGCTTCTGGTGTTGCTTCCTTTGGGTTGTATGTTTGATGAATATTTGGCATCTCTTTTCTGTATGCAGAGCCATGGGATGCAGAATATAGACTCCCAAGTGTCGGCCTGCATTTTTTTAAAATCTCCTCCTAGGCAGCCTTCTTAGTACCTTTTTTTTTTCCTTTTTTTTTTTTTTTTTAAAAAAAAAAGGCTTTTTGTTTTTTCTCTTTTCCAAGGCGAACTTCCTCAGTTTAACTTGTTATAAAATGAGTCATGTAAAGAACCCCTCTATGTGTTAGGTGTATCTCTCCTCTGTGAAAACATTAAAGACCAAACAACTTGCTTGCAGTTTATTTAAGATGCTTTTGTTGAAAGCTGAGCTAAGCAGAGAAACCTCTTATGTGTGAAGTATTATACAGTGTGTGTGAGATAATAACACCTTGTAATTCATTACAGGTGGGTTATATTTACATAGAAGAAGGCTGAGCTGTGTAGGAATTTGCTGATTAATTTATTTTTAATGGGAGTGAAGTATACCAAGTACCAAAATAAACTTTACTTTGTGTATCTTACTGCTCCTGGAATAGGTGGAAAAATTAATGGTAGATATTTTGGCTCAAAGCTACATACATTAATCTATATACAAAACAGTCATTTAAACTTTAACCCTTTTCCTGCTATATAATTTAAACCTGGACTCGTGTTATCCATGCCATGGGGACACAGGATGAGGAGTGCAGCCCCTTTCAACCCAGAGGACCTAGTGCATGCAGGTCTGAGATCATAGAATCATTGAATGCTTAAGGTTGGAAGGGACCTCTAGAGATCATCTAGTCCAACCCCCCTGCACACGCAGGGTCACCTAGGGCACGTGGCACAGGACTGCGTCCAAGCGGGTTTTGAAGATCTCCAGAGAAGGAGACTCCACAACCTCTCCTGTTCCAGTGCTCTGTCACCCTCACTGTTAAAAAAATTTTCCTTAAGTTCATGTGGAACTTTTGGTGCTTCAGTTTGTGGCCATTACCTCTAGTTCTGTCAGTGGCCACCACCGAAAAGAGGCCAGCACCATCCTCTGCACTCCCTCCCTGGAGGTACTTATAGACACTGATCAGGTCCCCTCTCAGCCTTCTCTTCTCCAGGCTGAACAGGCCCAGCTCCCTCAGTCTCTCCTCATAGGCCAGATGTTCCAGGCCCCTGATCATCCTTGTGGCCCTGCGCTGGACTCTCTCCAGCAGCTCCACATCCCTCTTGTACTGTGGGGCCCAGAACTGGACATAATACTCCAGATGTGGCCTCACCAGGGCTGAGCAGAGGGGCAGGATCACCTCCCTCGACCTGCTGGAGACCATGGTACTGAAGCTATGAAGGCTGCAGACTAGGATTTATGAGACAATTGGTCTGAGATGGTGGTGTCTTTTGTACTGTGAATGTGGGACAGATATATGATTAAAACCTTTCTTATGTAAGGAGGTGGGAGTCTCCCAAAATCATGATGCCCAATTGTTGCCATGCACTTTCTCGCTGTTATGAATATGAGAATAGAAGGACCTCTAATCAAGGTCTGATTTTGCAAACAATCATTGCTTGTTGCATAAAATGCCTTAAAATGCCCCATGGTTACAGAACTGAGCCAGCAGTCAAGGTGTGTTTTGGAGAGAAGCAGATGGCACATATTAAGAGAGAAGACAGACTGTCTATGAATTCAAAGGAGGGCGTTTAGAAAGGAAGAACACGCTGGAGGCGGCATGGGCTTCCCGGGCACTGCTTATCTGGAGACAGCATTTGGGTGTCAGCTATGCGAGTGTCCTACTTTTGAGGTACGTATTTCAGTAGGACAGAAATATTCTATTTTCATTATCATACAGGAGACATCTTTACAGCCAGGACTTCCTTGAGGAAAGCTTATATTCCCAATAGATTTTGCATCATACAAACTTTATGGCAGCAGTGATCAGCAGTACTATGATTTCTGTGTGCAGAACTGAACTCTGAGTATTTTTAACCAGATATTTTACAACCACCATGTTGTAAAATCCATCTTTTTCTCATTTTCAAGATCTTGGAGGAGGAACAATTGAAGATGTTTTACTTTTGGATGCTTCTTTGTTTATGTTGCTGTTTTTTTGAGAGCGGACCCAGTGCATCAACTGACGCCACTTAATGTATTTTGAGTGAATATATGATGTACATTTCTTTTCAAAACAGGCATGTTCAACACTGTCATCCAACCTGACCTTCTGTCTCACATAACAAATTTAGACATTGCTGATTATTCCAAAGAAATTGCTGTCCAAAATTAACTAAGTGTCATGAAGCACCAGCATCGTGGAAGCACTTGGGTATTTCAGCGACCTCTTGGCTCTGTTGTTCCTGTGAGCAGAACACAAGGGCCAACAGTCAATGTGTTTGCTGCTTTTGTTCCACTAGGTGTGTGTTTTGCTCTCAAGGTTATACTTGCAGGGTCCCTTCAGCCTGAGACAACCTGGGCTTGGAGGAGTCATCTGACGTAGCTCAGACATCCAAGGGGATTGGATGTCTGCAGTTTCAACTGCAGTTCGTGTCATCTACTCTGTTCCTGTGTTTACACCCCCATTTGATATTTATATCTAGCTGTTTTCTCCTGCTTTTAGACAGCGAAAGTGCACAGACATCCTTGCCAATTTCCACATTTCCTGTCCTGTTGAGGTGCCTAAGCCCTGTTTGAGCAGTTACCACTTCTTGCGCTTCTGAACGTTGTCCTCACCTTAAACAAAGAGCAGGTTTTCATCGTGTTCTTATCACACCAAACCCTCAGGTCAGAGTTGCAGCTCCCGATATAACAGTGGGATTTAACTACTGACCTGTCCCATTTATCCTACCTTTCACTTGGCAAAAAGGATAAAGGGAAACTAGACATTGGGTAAGGGCAAATTTTTCCACGGGAGCCTTAATGTAGTAGATATAGAATAGTAATGTGGTAAGGGGAGAACATAGTTGGGAGAGGATTGTGAGAGGCTCTGAAAGCATGGTCACTATGATTTATGCTGCTGTGTAACAATAGTGGGAACCAAATGCAGATGGATCTTGACCGGGAGCCTTCTGACCCATCTCCATATTTTTACACATTCTCCTACTTCCAAAACCTCACAGAGGAGACCTGCTTTCAGGGATTTAGATCAACATAGACCTGATGCAGTCAACTTGTGGCATTCCGTGGGACCAGTTAAACCCTGAGCATGTAACGAAGGTCATCTGTACTGTAGAGATGTGCTGAAGTACTGTTGCAAGCATTTAGAGAAGTATATTGCTCCTCTGTGCAAGTGTACTGAACAATTCATCAGCTTCTTTGAGCCCCAAACCTGAACTGTGTGTGCTTTCCTCCAGCAAGATAAAAATATTTTTGAAAATGTTAAAAATATTGAAAATACCGCATTGGGAGTGATAGGCATTCACACCAATACCTACAAATTGCCTACTGTCTTCGTGAGGTTTTTATTAGAATTGTGCCATGAACGCAGTGGTCACCTGTTGTGACTTTCTTTGTGTTCTCAGACTACAGTGCAGATAGATGCTTCTGGTTTTACCCTAGTAGATGTATTTTTTCTGGATCACAGTGGTGATGACTAGTTTTTTAGTAGATACTCCCATTATTTAGGCCCTTGCCCCTGCATCTGTCTCTTTACATTTGGCCTACAGTGCCTGATCTCTGTTGTCTTTTTGTGCCATGAACTCTAATCAAAACTCAATAGTTTTTTTTTCCCTCTTTTCTTCACAGAAGACTGATAAACCTCTGCCCTCTTCTTGCTGCTGAACAGAGCTTCAGCAGGCTTGACTCTGCTACTGAAAAGCCAATTGAAAACATCTTTCAGTAGTGTGGGTGGTGGTACTTC